CCCCAAAACCCCAAAACCCCGCATGAGAATTCTCTATTGAAATTGAACTTTTCAATCCATTATGAATAATTTCTTAAAATAATTAAATCATAAATAGCACTCTTCTAATCTATTATCACTATCAACAGCTTACTATTTGCAAATACTTTTCTATGCTTCTCTTAGGCTATCTAAATGCTCAAAGACGACTAAAGTTGACCTTGGATGTTCAGTATACAATCCATCAATTCCAGATTCATAGTAATACTTATATTTATCAAATAATGTTATTCCTTCTTCCTTCATAGAAATTATATCATCTTTTGCTGTGAATACGTGAACCTCTATGCCATATTGCCTAGCGTTATTAACCAAATTCAGCATTCCATGGTTATTTAGAATGTGCGGATAAGCCAGCATAGTATTCTAGATAGATACTAGCTTGATATCATTCTGAATTAGACCCTCGATTGTCCAATTAGTGTTAATCATCTCAATATTCATTGATAATTTTAGATCTGTTCGCTCTTAGAAAAATGTGACTGAAGAAAGATAAAATGATTGCAACATAACTGGCAGTTTTTAATTCAAAGATTTCTGATTAGTCTCAATATTATTTCTTTTCAGTACTTCCAAAAGCATTCCATTCACATCTATGCCTAAGCTAAGATAATAATCAGTCTATTTAATCTCAATGTATATTCCTATTGGGATTTGATTCTTTCTAAAAGCTACCTTCTATTCATTCATGTCTTTGATTTAATCAATTGCTTCTTACAAGCTAAGCACCTGGTATAAGCCATCAAAATAGTTAGATCTCCTTCCCTAATATCTTTAAACTCTTCTAAGCAGTTTTAATTCTTCCAAATTGAAGTCTTTCAACATAAAATCATTTGCATAAGTAACATTTGTTAAGGGATTAATAAAAGTTTTTCTAAGTTCATCTCTGAAAATTTCTGGGTGCTATTCTGTACCAATAAGCTGATTGTCCAATGAAGGCTCATGATGAGCCACGAGATGTCCATCCTTGGTAGGCTATACGTCTATATCAATAAAATCTGCTCCATCATAAAATGCATATTCATAGCCTGGAAAAGTGTGCTCTGGGAAATAACCAAATGCGCCTCTATGAGCAATTATTAGAGGAGCTTAGTTTGAAAGATCTAGGGTTAGAAGTATTTAGATTAAGATAGCTTGACTTAATTGGTGTTTCATTTTAATTATTTATCTTAATTTTAATTCCAAATTTGAAATTGAACAAATATATTTTAATCAAGGGGTTTTGGGGTTTTGGGGTT